TTGCAGGCATGTTGGTTACTTGCCATGTTAGGGCAGTTTTCTTGAAGGAAAACATTTGAAATGTGGCCATAATGGCTGGGGTGTCAGCCATACGAATTTTATATAAACTTTTGAAGCATGAGGCACAAAGCATATAGTGCTTTGTTGTGTTCATTGCTTCATTTTGCGAGTTGTCTTTTATTGCGATGATAAAAGTTGGGAAGGTGTTCCTATATTTCGTGTGGTCGTTTACATATTTTGTCCCTTTCATAAAGGAGTGCGTCTCTTTGTTGAACAAAGAAATCTGAGTGCATTTGAGGGGCTGATAGAGTGCGAAACTTAGTGCCGTATAGGGGAAAAATTACTGCAGAAAAATTGATCCTATAATGCATGAGATGATGATGTGGAGCGTTACGAGGCCTCTTCTAAGTTTGTCGGGCATATGCACATATATGGGGTTGTCATTGAGAGTTTCATTTGCACTATTAAGGAGTGGTTGACTTCAATTTGGGGGCGAGATAGCAATGGTGATGGTGCGTCGTGGTGGTGGTGAGTGAGTGGGAGGGAGAAGGAGGAACGGTAGAGAAAGTGCATGGGGGAGAGAATGTGGTTAGGATTGTTTGAATGGTTCAATAAATATTTTTTTTGTGACATCTAACGTAAGAAATTCTTATTGAAATGCCTAATTTCCTCATTTTTTTAGATACATACACAAATACCCCTACTTTTAGAGTCATTATGAAAAATCATGAGAAACATGTATTAAAAAGCAAACAGTCTAATTTCAATCAATAAAGACCGTAAACATTAAGATGCTATGATAAAATGAAGAATCCAATCCAACAGCTCTAGATTTCCAACTTATCCAAGCTCCAAATCAAGCAAAATCTAAATCACAAGACTTTTCATCAAGAAGATCAAAGTTGAATCTTCAAAACTTAGGCTTTGGGAATTTTGATTGGCCGACTCTAGTTAGGCTCAACTCGGTACCTGAACTAGGTCAAGTCCAAACGGGTCATACTCAGGGAATTATGAACAACCAAAAGATCACGAATTGCCAGAATGATGCCCATGCTATCTAGTAGCAAATTTGCCGTATTGTGGATGATGAGGTACAAAGTGGACTCAAAACACAGCGAGTCAACAACTCAGGTTCTTTCAACAAAATCTGAATGATTTTTCACAGAGTTCTACGTTTACCAACTCGCTCGACCCATTTGGGATTCGGTTTTCGACTCAGTTGGGTGGTTTTGGGTCTGTGTAGTGTAAAATGATATTGAATGGAAGTGTAGGGGTGAATTTGAGATAGTAAAAGAATACAAGGGATATTTGTGTAAATAAATGGAATTCTTTGGGCTAATTAATATTTGGGGTTTTGGTTCCTGAAGAGGAGCTGCAAAGAACCTACTTTATGGGCTTGGTGGGCCTCAAAAGGCCCAATATTTTGTTCTTGATATGTTAGGTTTGGTAGAATTCAGCGTGCTACAAATTATTCTCTATTATTTTGTTGAAATTGTTCTATTTGAAAAATATTTCAAAAAGTTAATAGTAGCAGTAGTTAAGGGTAGTTAGGAGCCCTTTTTGAAGGGTTTTTGCTTCTGTTTTCTTAAAAGAATTTGCATTAGTCAGTTTCTTTTAAAAGCATTTTCAATAAATTATTTAGACAGATAAAGTAGATTTTTAATTTCAAAAGTAACTTTTGATTTTTCAAAATTTAGTTAAGCAAGTTTAAAAATGGTTAGTTATTATTATGAAAACTAGTTTTTCACCCGTGCAATGCATGATGCGATGCACAAATTTATATTAAGTGATAAATAATTCTAACATGAGCAATATATGCTAATTGATTTTTCAATCCA